TTTAGATGACTTAAGAAATTCTACACAAACAGTCGTTCCTGCAAATAGTGAGAGTTTGATTTCTTCCTTTCTGGTCTGTGCCTTTTGTTTCTTTTTCTTGCCTTATTGCAGTGTGTAAAACTTACTTCCAGCACAGTGTTAAATAGGAATGAGGCATGGACATCCCAGCCTTGTCTCCGGTTTTAGTGGAAAGTATTCAATATTTTCACCACTTAGTATGGTGTTAGATGTAAATTTTTCATGCATGCTCTTTATCTGCTGAGGAAGTTTCTTCCTATTCTTAGGTTTCTAAGAGTTGTCTTGAAAAACCAAACCCATTGCCGTCAAGTCGATTCCAACTCATAGTGCCCCTGTAGGACAGAGTAGAACTGCCCCATAGGGTTTCCAAGGAGCGATTGGTAGATACACACTACCAACCCTTTGGTTGACAGTAGATCTCTTAGCCGCTGTACCACCAGGGCTCCAAAAGTTATCATGAATGAGTGTTGAATTTTGTCATGCTTTTTCTGCATCTGTGGAATTGATAAAATTTTTCTCCCGCTAGTTGAGTTTGAATGTATTACCTCAGACCTCAAATAGGCACTCCCCAGTGCCTGCTGATGACCCTACATTTTTCTGATACCTGTATTTGCTTGTTCTCTGAGATGAGTGTTGATGATGCCATCTTCCCTCTTGAAACCTCTCAGCTTTGTTTCCCTCAAAGCTAATAACCACTCCTCCTGCGTCAGAGAGAAACTAATGCCGTGAGCATGCAATTCCTGCATCTCTCCTTCAGATGACCAGCTCCCCTGCATCTGTGCCTGTCTTCTCTTCTCCTTCCTGTTCAGGTAGGAACAGCAGGATTCCTGTCTTCCTAAAAACCACTCTGCCTCCTGGATCTCCGGTTTATTACATAGTCCATCCCTTCAGTTATCCTGTCTCTGCTGCAGTCTCAGCCTCTCCAGCAGTATCTCTGGTAGCTCCTGGCTTTCAAACAGAAACTTCCCTTGACCATACAGGTCCCTCTAGCCTCTCCCCATCTGTCTACTTCTCTTCACAACAAAACTTCTCCAACTAGTTCCTGCGTTCTTTCTCCATTTCCCCACCTCCCTTTCACCTTTCCGCCCAAACCAGTCTGCATTCTGTCTCCATTGCCTCAAAATTTGTCATGGTCTCCGATAGCCTCTATGGTTCCAGATTCAATGGATGTTTCTTGCTTTGTTACAATCACCAGCTGCCCTGGGCACAGTTGACCACTTGTTTGTTGTTATTCTTCCAATACTTCTTCCATTGGCTTCCTTGTCATACGTGTCTCCTTTGCTGGTTCCTCCCTCACCTGAACTTTAACTGTCTCAGGGCCCTCGGCAACTGCATCAGCTCCACCACATTCATCCACACTGCCTGCTGGAGCAGTGACTTGTGTTGGGGACTCTCGTTTCATGTGTTAAGTGAGTGCAGTAAATGAGTAAAGTTGTATTAAGCAAAGCAGTAAGAATTGTTTGACAAAGATATTTGGAAATATGTATTTCTTACTACTGATTTAATTTAGGGGGCCGTTGGATTTAAATGAAGTTTATTTATTTAATAAAAAATCAGCTGCTCACATACCACATTCTTCTATAATTTGGCCCAGTCCTAGAATTAATAAAGCTCAAAGTCCAATTCTTGTTTCACCATTGAGGAAATCGATACCCGAGCTTGTAACTTGTAAGCAGCAGAGCTAAGCTTAGAACCTGATTTTTAAACTCTAGTTTTTGTGGGCCCTCCCCACCCCTAGTCACCATATCTCTGGTACTTAGCAAGGTGTCTGGCACCGTAGCAGTTTCCCAGTGCGTATACAGTGAAACGTGTGAGAGCCGGAACTTGCCAGGACTGCCTTATTTTTCCGGGTCTCATATAAGTTTCCCACCTTTGACAGGGTGCAGTCTTACACTTTTCTGTCACTCTCTATTAGTGAAAAATATTTTGAGTTTTCCTTTCTGACAAGTTTCCACCTTACACAGGTTCCAGCTCTCACAGGTTTTACGGTTTTAGGAAGAATGTAGTTGAACTTTACGAAGAGCAGTTTTACTACTTAGATGTAGCACTTGGGTGTAATAGCTCTTCACCACTGAAACTGCATGCAATGCCTGAGATTAGCCCATTTTTAGCTATGACCCAATTCAAGAGATTCGTGGTTTTTTGGTTTGGTTTTGTTTTGGTTTTTATGTTTTGCAGAGTTTGGGGGAATACCAAAAATCTAGTCATAAGGTTCTTTCCCAGTCATTCAGCAAATAATGTATTCAGCTCCATCCAACTCTGTGTGTGGTGTGTTAGACCCGCAGACACAACGGTGAACAATCCCGACATGATGCCTCCCCTTGTGAGACTCTCTCTGGCCGGAGGCACTGCCCCTAAAGGATTGCTGAGAGTTTGAGTGGTAACTGTGACCACTGTACCTCATGAGACGTATAGGAGGCACAGCCAGGGTGTGATTAAGTACGTGCAGGGCCAGCCAGTTATGAAGTCCAGAGGAGAGAATGAGGTAGCAGAGTGGGAGACATTGGACAGTGTGGACAAAGCCTGAGCTGTGGGCACTTTGTTGTGGAGGAGTCTAGCATGGTGGCCCGGAGGACACCCGCCATGAGGTCATCTGGTCGACTCCCCTCTGACCCACCGCTCACGATGTGAGCATCAGGCCATCACTTGATATCCATGTTGGTTTCCTAAGGAAATAAGGGGACCTGGTGTGGTCCTTGTGGAAGTTATTTCTGCTGCCAGTAAATTAACCTCCTGGGTGAGGCACCAGTCTCTGCTGAGTTTGGCTAGATGTAGCATCTTTGAGCTCCACACTGAGTGTTTGAGCGCTGCAGTGTGCCAGGTGCTGCCAGGCACTAGACGGCATCGTTTGAGAACAGCAGGTGAGACCTCTGCCTTGGCTGGCAGGATCTCTCTGAGTATGCCCTTAACTTGAGAGAGGCAGGTCCTGGGGGCTTGGCGACCACACTGAGATGCCATCTGGCAGGAAGCTTCAAACCAGGCCCCTGGCCCCCAGAGTCCCTCACTTCCGGAAGCCCTCCATTTGTGGCAGTCACTGCATTCTTTTTAAATGAAGGTTAGCTTGCTGCTGCGAGAAAGAGAAATGAATGTGTTTGGCGTCAGCTGGCTAGGTAAAAACGACTACAAGTAAACTACTACAGAGAACTGAAAACCTTGTCCTTGATTTTACTGCCTAGTCCGCTCTGAGTGATAGCAGAGCTTGTGTCCTTTCTCATCATTCCCCCCCTCCAACACACACACACACACACACACACACACACGTGTGTGACATCACTTTGGAGATGACTCTAGCTGGCATCCACGTGTTAGTACCTAGTCCAGTGCAGAGCACATGGGTCCATTCAGTCTTTATTGATATGGTCGACACTATGCATCTTCCTAGAAATAGCACCTGTCTTACTCAGGTGACCCCTTAGCTATACCTATTTCACTTTATCTAGTAGTTTGGTTTCTAAACTCACTTAAGCTTGGTTTTAAGTTGTTCTTGATGCGTGTCATTGAGTCAATTTCGACTCATAGCAACCCCTTGTAACACAGTAGAACTGCCCCATAGGGTTTTCTTGGCTGTAATCTTTATGGGAGCAGATTGCCAGGTCTTTTCTCCCTTGGAGCTGCTGGATGGGTTCAGACTGCTGACCTGTCAGTTAACAGCTGAGCGCTTAACTGTTGCACTACCATGGCTCCTTTTATGCCATTGAAATCTAGCAGCAGAGCTTATTTAAAGTAGTCCTTTTACGTCATTCTGTGTTCTGTCCTGTGTGAGTTTTCACCTACGGCCATACTTACTTATAGTGGAAACATAGTAGACATCCCTGAGGCTCCTGATTCTAAAACTGCCAGGCCCGTGTGCTGGACCCTGTCTGTTTGTCCTCGAATCTCGCTGGGTCCTGGTCTGTGCAGGTGGCCTCACAGCATGGGGCCTTCACGTGGCTGTCCTTCCTCCAGCAGGGGTCAGAGCTGGGCTGCGCAAAGAAGGTGTTCTAGGGTCTTCCCCTCTGGGCTTTCCTGCCTTGCAGGATTCTCTTTGTGCCCAGATCTGAACTCCCCCCAGGTGATTACTAATAAAGCAGAGGGGGTAGGAGAGATGGGGTATGGAGGGGGTCAGAGGAGATGGGGAGCTGTGAACTGACATCCATGCAGGGTCTCCTGCAGAGGTGGCACCACTTCAAGCAGAGGCAGGAATGAAGGTGTGTGGAAGACCGGTTTTGGGTTTGTCACTTTCCTCTAATGACATTGTAGAGCAGCTGTAAACCCTGTTTCACATGTAAGGAGAGAAAGACTTGGAAAGATGGATTCATTGAAGGAAGATTTGGGGCCTGTCATCTGTCAAGGGAGCCCTGGTGGCACAGTGGTTAAAGCGCTTGGCTGCTAAGCAAAAGGTTAGCAGTTTGAACCCACCAGCCGCTCTGTGAGAGAAAGACATGGCAGTCTGCTTCGGTATAGATTACAGCCTTGGAAACCCTATGGGGCAGTTCTGCTCTGCACTATGAAGTCTCTCTGATGGCAGTGGATTTGATTTTGGTTTGCTCATCTGTCAGGTACTGTTTGAAGTGCCAGGGGCGTAGCTGTGAGTGGGACAGATGAGGTTTCTGTCCCCCTGGTGCATCGTTCGAGAGTGTAGGGAGCAGGACACAGATGCAATATGTGTGGGTGAGAGCCAGGGAGGACAGGGACAGGATGACGTGAGAGCGCCTAGGAGGCTTCCCCTTGATGGGGTCTGAGCAAGGCTTCTCAGGGTGGCACCTGAGCTAGCCACACAGAGTGTGAGAGACCCTGAGGGGCCTCTGCTTACCAGCAGGGAGGTGGCCTGTCTGCCTAGAGCTCATCTCCACACTGGGGGCCCTTCCAGCGTGACCATGTCACCCCGTAGTGCTCTGCTCTGGTGTCTCCCAGCACGGGTTTGTTGTGGTGAGCAGATTTTACTGGCTGACGTGGAGGTGTAGGTGTATATTATATATATGTGTATTTTTCCCTCCTTTCAGATGATACAGAGGACGTGTGCATCGTAGAGAGACTCTTCTCAAGCAGCTTAGTGGCCATTGTGAGCCTCAAAGCACCTAGAAAGCTCAAAGTCTGCCACTTTAAGAAGGGTACAGAGATATGCAACTACAGCTACTCCAACACCATCCTGGCTGTGAAGTTGAACCGGCAGGTGAGTGATACGCCTGCTCACATCTAGCTGCCATGTGGGCTCTGTCACATTGCACAGTGTCTTCAGTGTGGTGGCTTTGACAGTCACCACCATTCCAGAGTTGTCTCCAGTGCCTCTAGGAGACAGCTGACGACCTCAGCTGCCATTTCAGGTCCCTCGGCCGCTGGCCTCACCCCACACTGCTGTGTGCAGTCCCCACTCAGTCTGCGGGTCAACTCTGTGCTGTCTGGTCTCCACAGATTGCTCAAATCATCCCACTCATGACAGGAGTCCTAAAATGTGTGTGTATCTACTCATCCATGGAGTTGATATCATAGTCTGTACCTACAAGGAGCCCTGGTGCGCCGTGATTTAAGTGCTGACTGCTAACTGAAAGGTTGGCAGTTTGAACCCACCAGCCGCTCCATTGGAGAAAGATGTGGCAGTCTACTTCCATGAAGATTGCAGCCTTGGAGACCCCGTGGGGCAGTTCTACTCTGTCATGAAGGGTTGTTATGAGTCAGAATCTACTCGACAGCACACAACAACTAAGTTTTTACCTCCTACCTTCTTTTGCCTTTATAGTTGTTACTCTAAAAAAATCTGTTAGAACCTGTTAAAAAGTGTTCATTTATCTTTTAATTTAAGATGAGACACTTAGTACTTTTTTCTATCTTCCCCAAAACTACAAAGAATGTCTGGCACAGGGTATGGGCCTGGTGAATAACTCTCTCATTTATTCCATGAGACTCTCATGGCTTTTGCTTGCTCACAAAATAACAGAACTGCCCTTAAGAGCCTTCCGTCCTTTCTGCTTACAGCTAAGTGTCCTGTGCAGGGAAGGCTGATGGAATAGGCAGGTGTGGAATGTCCGTTACTGCAGCCTGGGGTTCTGAAATGTGTGGTGCCTGGAGAAAGCAGGAAGAGCAGAAACTTTCATCTTCTGTGCTTGAACCTGGGCATCGGTCTATTTATGGGAGAATTTGGTTAAAATAGGAAACTCTAATGATACCGTAAACCTGTTTTTAATTTTAAACACATGAATGCATGCTCTTGTTCCAGCTGATGTAGAACCAAGCACGTTCCAGGATGTCTGTCTTGCAGAAGCCTTCCCCTTCATGCATCGTCTGCATTCCTTTCCTTTAAAATGCAGCAAGAGCGTAAAGACACGTGCAAAGGAATCTGAGTGCAGAACCCTTCAAGATTTTATAATTAAAAAAAATCCCTAGACTTTTTCTTTTGTCTGACCCATGCCTCATTCAACAGGAGGGTTTTTTTTTTTTAATAATTTTATTTTGTTGTTGTTGAGAATATACACCACAGAACATACACCAATTGAGCAGTTTCTACACGTCCAATTCAGTGATGTGGATTACATTCTTCAGGTTGTGTAACCCTTGTCACCCTCCTTTTCTGAAGTGTTCCTCGCCATTAACGTAAACTCACTGTCCCCTGAGTTTCCTACATAATCTTTCAAGTTGTGTTGTCATTTTGATCCCATGTAGATAGCTCTTAAAAGAATACAGTGCTCATGGCAGACATTCTTTACTCATTAAACTAAACTATTTCAGCTTCAGTTTTTTAAAGCAGCTTGCATGACCAAATCTATTCATAGCATCTAACCTGATTTTCATGGGGCAGAGTGGGGAAGAGAGACAAAAACAAGTCCCCCCAAAAGAAGCACACTTTCCTTAGCTACAGTTCATCAGTTTATATAATGTTTAATTAAATGCATAATTAGAACTACTAGTACAATGGCATAAACAGTTTTGGGACTGGCACAACTGGCTCTTGGTGCCACTTAATTGGTGGATGGAGGACACGGTCCTACAGGAAGGCTGCTCACTAAGGGCAAGCTGTCTCTGTGCCCTGAGTCTGCATGGTGTTCTAGAAGGAACGGAATGGGCCTTAACCCAGGAGTTGACTAAGTGAAGACTGGCTGAGAGCGTCTGTTGTACTGACTGTTTATGTCTGGCTTTTCCATCTCTCTTTTCTAGAGGTTAATAGTGTGCCTGGAAGAGTCTCTGTATATCCACAATATTCGGGACATGAAGGTACTGCATACCATCAGAGAGACGCCCCCAAACCCTGCAGGTAAACTCATTTGTGAGAAGAGAATCCTGTTTTTCTGATTCTACCTTTTAACGATAGTTATAGGTGAGAGTTTGTTTTTCTAGTCTTTTTACAGCTTCCACAAATCTGGACGAATTTAAAAAATACTGATCTTAAGCCAAGTTACCTTCCATTTGATGCTGGTCTTGTGACCATATAAAGTCATTGGTTTGGTCAACTTCCAGTTTTGAGGTTACTGATCAGTTCAAGGAGCTCTGGTTGTACAGTGGTTAAGAGCTATGGCTGTTAACCAAAAGGCCGGCAGTTCGAATCTACCAGCTGCTCCTTGGAAACCCTATGGGACGGCTTATACTCTGTCCTCTAGGGTCTCCATGAGTAGGAATCGACTCGATGGGAGTGGGAATCAGCTCAAACGAAAGGCCTTTAATCTGTTTATGATATTGCTTTCACCTAAGGGAGTCTCTGAGTGGTGCAAACTGTTAACAAGCTTGACTGCTAACCAAAAGGTCGGCAGTTCGAGTCCACTCAGAAGCACCTCAGAGGAAAGGCCTAGAGATCTCCTTCCAAAGAATCAGCCATTGAAAACCCTATAGAGCACAGTTCTACTCTGACACATCTATGGTCGCCATGAGTTAGAACCAACTTGATGGCAACTGGGTGTGTTTTTGGGTTTTATCACGTAAGGTGGTGGTTTGGAGATGTTGAGCTTTAAAAAAAATACAATGTAGTGAAAAGATTGTGTCAGATCTATTGTTGATTTCTACATTATTTTTCAATCAGTGCTAAATTATGTCTAACAACTAAAAAGGATACCCTCACGGACTTAATTCTGCATTTGTTCTCCATGTTCTTCGCAGGCTTGTGTGCTCTGTCCATAAACAATGACAATTGTTACTTGGCATACCCTGGGAGTGCAACCATTGGAGAGGTACAAGTCTTCGACACCATCAATCTGGTGAGGTTCCTTTTGTACTTGAATAGATTTTTTAAAATGGGCCTTTTGTTGAAAACAAGGACTGTGTAGTCTGACATCTCATTTCCTGGGCTCAACAGCAGTTTCACTGCTTCCCTTTTTTAGTGGCAAAGCAGGTCTGGTTACCTCTGCCTCCAGGTATATCACTGTGTTCCCATGGGTTTGAGCTCAGCAGTGTGAGTTTGGGGAGAAATGGAGAGAAGTGTCTAGATAAAGCAATGGGCTTTTCTTAAGGCTTTGAGCAGCATTCCTTGCCCCTGGCCTTAAATCCAGTGGATTTGGTATCTGTATTGACTGTGATGGTGTTTCAGTAACAGCAAGTTGGCATCCTCAGCCTCCCATTTATGTGGAGTCTCTGCCGTGTGCACTTATGTCTTGCTGCTCCCCCCTTTGCAGAGAGCTGCAAACATGATCCCAGCTCATGACAGTCCTCTGGCAGCACTGGCTTTCGATGCAAGCGGCACCAAACTTGCCACTGCTTCAGAGAAGGTGAGTCCTGCTTGGTGGTGGCCCGACTAGGGACTGATCTGATGCCCTCCACAAACCTTGCCCTTCTATTCACACCGCTGGGTTATCAGAGTAGCTCTTCTGTCAGCCAAATCTCAGAGATGCAAGGCTAAAGGACCCACCTGCTAGGCTGTCGGTCAGGCTGACTGGGAATGAGTGGAACCACACTCTATGCTTTTTCTGACAATAAAGGTCATACACGTCTATTCTAGAAAGTACAGAAACTCACGAAGGAGAAGAAAATGCCATTCATAATCACGCCACTCACTCATTGGTTTTTTTTTAAATTATGAAAGCAGCATCTGCTTATGATAGAGAACGTAGAAAATAATGAGAAGTACATGAAAGCAAACACAGAATTCCACTCTCCAGAGCTGCTCTGAGCACATTTCAGTGTATTTTTTTACATTTTTTTTAATTCATTTAACAAAGTTGGTATCAGACTATATGTATAATTTATCATCTTTTTTTTCTCTGCCTGATATTGTATTTCTCTAATATGGTATTCAATTATGGTTTACTTAACCATGACCCTTTTGGAGCATTTATATTTTTTTTTTTATAATTTTGTTGTTGAGACTATACACAGCAGAATATCCACCAATTCAGTAATTTTTACATGTACAGTTCAGTAACATTGATTACATTCTTTGAGTTGTATGACTTATATTTAATGTTTTATTGTTATAAATTATAGTGTATGTAAATCTTGTATATAAATCTTTGTGTGTATCTCTGATTATTAAGAGATTCCAGTAAGATGAATTTTTGGGTTTAAAGGATCTGGCCTTTTAAAAATTTTTCTGTGTATAGAGTGAGGGGGCAGTGGTAGCTTAGCAGTAGAATTCTTGCCTTCCATGTGAGAGACGGGTTCAATTCCCAGCCAGTGCACCTCATGTGCAGCAACCACCCATCAGTGGAGGCTGGTGTGTTGCTGTGATGCTAAACAGGTTTCAGTGGAGCTTCCAGATTAAGACAGGCTAGGAAGAAAGGCCTGGCAGTCTACTTTCAAAAATCAGCCAGTGAAAACCCTATGAATCACAACAGTCTGATCTGCAACTAATCATGGGGATGATGCAGGACCAGGGAGCATTTTGTTCCATTGTGCATTGAGTTGGGGCTGACTTCGATGGCGGCTATGATAGTTAACGTTGTGTCGGCTTGGCTGGGCCATGATTCCCAGTGGTTTGGCAGGTATGTAATGATGGAATTTGGCAGTTATGTAATGATGTAGTCATCCTTCATGATGTGATCTGATGTGCTCAGCCAGCCATAAGGGGAGGTTCCTTGGGGGTGTGGCCTGCATCCAGTATGTATATGGATGTTCCGGCAAAACTTGCTTGCTTGCTGTGGATCCTGCATCCGACTCATCATCATCTGACCTCCTGTTCTTGGGACTTGAGCTGACTGCCTGCCATACTGCCTACCAAATCTTGGATTTGTCAGCCTCCACAGCCCTCGAGCCAGCAGCTTGCCATCTGACCTGCAGATCTTGGGTTCATCAGCCCCCGCAGCTATGTGAGTCAGGAGGAGCCTCCAGCCTGACACCTGACCGATGGACTTGGGACTTGCCAGCCTCTATAACCGTGTGAGCCATTTCCTTGAGATAAATACCTCTCTTCACATACATACATATATATATGCAGACTTCACTGGTTTTGCTTCTCTAGAGAACCCAGCCTAAGATAGCAGCTAACAACAACATACATAAGACAAAATTGCCTTGGCAGTCCGTTCAGCTGGAACCTCTTCTCTCTTAGGTCCCTGACAGTAAAGTGCGCTTATTCTCGTCCTGACTTGAACTGCCACATCTTTCTCTCTTTTGCATAATGATTCAGTTCTCTGGTCTTCTTTCTCTTGGAGATCTTTGTTCTCCTGGCTTCATTCATCTCTTCTGAGCTCAAAATACATTACAAATCCACCTTACTTCTTTAACTTTTCTGCATGAGTCTTTGTGACTTGAATGACATACCCAGGTTCCATAATAAAGATTCTACTGTTTATGAATCATGTCTGGAACTATGCTCTAGATCATTTATTTATACTCATTATCTTATTTGATGCCCTTAGTGATTCTGTAAGGTAAACAGTTTTCCATTTTATACTGAGGGCTCAGAGAGATGAAGTAATTTACCTGGATCACCCAGCTGGGCAGTGACAAGGGCATTGACGTCCGAGCCTGACTAGAGCCTGTACTTTCAGCACTCTTATACTGTCTCGTTATCACCCTGACCTTTTCTTTTCCCTTGGGCGTATCAACATGGCCAGAAATTCTTTTATCCTCTGATTTATCCAAGTCTTACCACCATAGTTTTAATTAGCTCTTGGAAAGGCCCTGAAGCACTTTATGGAATTTTAGGCCAATAAAAATGGAATAATATTTTCTGAACTATAAAGAGCAAACAGTTTATTTGCCTGTACACAGAATCCTCCTGTTGGTGGGACTAGCCCATCAGTGGCCTCCTGGGTGCTAGGCAGCACTGAGGGGCACAGCGTCATCATCCCTGCCCCACGGCTGCTAATTAATTAGGATGACACATAGGTTGTCATTTAAAAAGATGTTGTATAAATCTAAAGGTGTAGGCTATGAGGACAAAACTTGTGCCTTGCTTATTGTTGTATAGGTATGTCTAAAATACTTCATCCCACTCTTAAGTCTTACAAACTCACTATGGACACACTTCATTGGTGTTCCTTCCACACAGAGAGATCCACTGTCCTTAAACCAGAGCTTTGAACTGGTTCAAAGTGGTTCAGTCACAGCTGTTGTAAACAAGGGCAGCATCATACGCATTGCATAGCAACCAAATCTGTTGCCTAGGGGATTTTGACCCGAGTAGGAAACAAAACAGCGGTGCCCTGCTCAAAGATGGCAGCCAACTGTGCTGCTTTGAATGTTTCAGGAGCCTGATGCAGGAAATTGGATTATTGGCAGGACTGTGGAAATCAACACACATTCAAAGCGACGTGGTCAGCTGCTATCTTTTTTTTTTTTTTTTATACTTTAGATGAAGGTTTACAGAACAAACTACCTTCACATTAAACAATTAGTACATGTATTGTTTTGTGACGTTGGTTAGCAACCCCGCGACATATCAACACTCTCCCCTTCTCAACCTTGGGTTCCCTATTATCACCTTTCCTGTCCCCTCCTGCCTTTTTGTCTCTGCCTCTGGGCTGGTGTGCCCATTTTGCCTCTTTCTGTTTTATGGGCCTGTGTAATCTTTGACTGAAGGGTGAACCTCAGGAGTGACTTCACTACTGAGCTGAAAGGGTGTCCAGGGGCCATGCTCTCAGGGTTTCTCTAGTCTCTGTCAGACCAGTTAAGTCTGGTCTTTTTTTTGTGAGTTAGAATTTTGTTCCACATTTTTCTCCAGCTCTGTCCAGGACCGTCTGTTGTGATCCCTGTCAGAGCAGTTGGTAGTGGTAACTGGACACCATCTAGTTGTGCTGGACTCAGTCTGGTGGAGGTTCTGGTAGTTGTGGTTTATTAGTCCTTTGCACTAATCTTTCCCTTATGTCTTTGGTTTTCTTCATTCCCCCTTGCTCCAGATGGGGTGGGACTAGTGGAGTATCTTAGATGGCCGCTTACAAACTTTTAAGACCTCAGACGCTACTCACCAAAGTAGAATGTAGAGCATTTTCTTTCTTTATCAGCTATGTTATGCCAGTTGAACTAGATGTTCCCAAAGACCATGGTCACCACAGTCTCCAGCCCAGCAGTTCGGTCCCTCAGGGAGTTTGAATGTGTCCTTGGTGGTGTAGTGGTTAAGAGCTCTGGCTGCTAACCAAAAAGGTCAGCAGTTCAGATCCACCAGGTGCTCCTTGGAAACCGTATGGGACAGTTCTGCTCTATCCTATAGGGTTGCTATGAGTTGGAATCAACTTGATGACTACGGTTCTTTTTTTTTAATGGACCCTCCGTGACCTTGCCTTGGACACGTTGTGCTGGCTTCCCCAGTATCGTGTACTGTTTTACCCTTCACCAAAGTTAGCATTTAATCTATTGTCTGTTTAATGTTTTTCCATCCCCACACCTCCCCTCCCTCGTAACCATCAAAGATTATTTCTTTTTTTGTGTAAACCTTTTCATGAGTTTTTACGGTAGTGTTCTCATATAATAGTTGTCCTTTTGTGATTGACTTATTTCGCTCAGCATAATGCCCTCCAGATTCATCCATGTTGTGAGATGCTTCGCAGATTCATCATTGTTGTCTATCGTTGTGTAGTACTCCATTGTGTGTATGTACCATAGTTTATCTATTCATCTGTTGATGGGCATCTAGGTTGTTTCCATCTTTTTGCTTTTGTGAACAGTGCTGCAGTGAACATGGGTGTGTGTATGTCTATTCATGTGATGGCTTTTATTTCTCTAGGATATATTCCTAGGAGTGGGATTGCTAGATCATATGGTATTCTATTTCTAGCTTTCTAAGGAAGCACTATATCGTTTTCCAAATACCATTTTACATTCCCACCAACAGTGCATAAGAGTTCCAATCTCCCAGAAGCCTCTCCAACATTTGTTATTTTCTGTGTTTTTGATTTGTGCCAGTAATGCCAGGGAGAGATAGTATCTTATTGTGATTTTGATGTGCATCTAATAGCTAGTGATTGTGAGCATTTCCTCATGTGTCTGTTAGCCACTTGAATGTCTTCTTTGGTGAAGTTTCTGTTCATTTCCTTTGTTCATTTTTTAATTGGATTATTTGTCTTTTTGTTGTAGAGGTATTGGATTTTCCTATAGATTTTAGAGATTAGACCTTTGTCAGATTTGTCATAGCCAAAAATTTTTTCCCAGTCTGTAAATTGTCTTTTTACTCTTTTGGTGAAGTCTTTGGATGAGCATAAGTGTTTAATTTTTAGAAGATCCCAGTTATCCAGCTTATCTTCTGGAGTTTATGTGTTGTTAGTTTTGGTTTGTATCCTGTTATTGCCGTGTATTAGGGCCTCTGGCGTTAATCCTGTTTTTTGTTCTATGATCGTTATAGTTTTTTGTTTTATATTTAGGTCTTTGATCCATTTTGAATTAATTTTTGTGTATGGTGTGAGGTATGGGTCCTGTTTCATTTTTTTGCAGATGAACATCCAGTTTTTCGAGCACCATTTGTTAAAAAGACTGTCTTTTCCCCCATTTGATGGACGTTTTAGCCACCATCTTTGAGCGGGGCTCCCCTGTTCGTTTCCTACTCTGGTCAGAATCCCACAGGCAGCAGATTTGGTTGCCACGCAGTGCATAAGCAGTCCTTGTTTACGACAGCCATGACTGACCCATTTCGAATCAGTTCGAAGGCCTGCCTTAAACACCATTTCCTCAGATAACCACCATTCATCTCCAGCCTGACTTCAACGGCTGTGCAGTACCCCACTGTATGAGTTCACCAGAACGTACTTACACGGTTCCTGGGTGTTCTACATTTAGATTGTTTATAAACATGTCAGACATCCTCAACGAAAAATATTTGTGTGGGCCTTTTATACATTTCTAGAAATTCTGTTTCCTGCTTTTTAGTGGTCAGAAGTTTTCAGGCTTTATGTCATTAGAGTTTCTCATCTGTTCTTTTTTATAGTTTCTTTTTTGTTGTTATGCTAAAAATCACTCCAGTCTCTGAAGAAAAAATTTCGTTTTATTTGTTAATTTCTTTGTATTTATTTATTTTTATATTTAGTTGTTTGAACCTTCTAAAATCTGTATGGTTTAAAATTGAAGTTGAGTAAGTCCTGCTTGCCCATCAGTGTCAAATGCTACTGTTGGAAGGTTTGCCATTCTGTTACTTTAATACTGTAGCTCGATCTAGTATTCTTTAATATTCAGAAGTTGATCACCCTGTTCAGTTTTGTTTCTTCTCTTATGTATTCTTTCTTGTTACACCCTGTCTCCCCTCTCCACAGATCCCTATTAGTTTGGAGGTTGGAGGCAGGGGAATGGTGGGGAAATCAGCATCTTCAAAAGAACTGGTTTTGATGCAGAAGGAATGCTGTTTAACCATTTATTCATATTTGCTTTTTGTCTTAGACAGTCAAAGCTTTCTTAATAGAGGTCTTACAAAAAAAAGGTGATCGGCTTCCATTAAGACTGCGGCCAAATACGTGATCATATTGACAACAGCAACTCAAGAGGATAGATGAGAAGCTTAGGCGGGCAGTGAGTTTGTGTTAATGACGGTGAAATAGTTTGTTGAGAAAGGTTGTGTGTCACCTGGGCTGGGCTGTGGTTCTCAGTGGTATGGCAGTCGTATGATGTGATCACTTCCATGATAAGATGTGATATGGGATCACCTCCATGGTGGAATCTGCTGTGAGTAGCCAGTCAGTTGAAAGGGAGTTTCCTTGGGCATGCGGCCTGCATTGAATATGAGTTGACATTCTAGCAAGGCTTGTGGGCTTTTGCTTGCTCTGGATCCTGCAGCTGGCTCTGTTCATCTGACCTCCAGTTCTTGGGACTTCAGCTAGCAGCTTACCTGCCGTCTTGCCTGCCAATCTTAGGATTCGTCAGTCTTCACAGCCTATGAACAAGAGCCCTGCTTTCTGATCTGCTGATCTTGGGTTCGCCCTCCCCTGCGGCTACGTGAATCAGGAGAGGCCTCTATCCTGACCCACAAACTTCGGACGTTCTAGCCTCTACAATCTCATGAGCCATTTCCTTGATATAAATCTCTCTATATATGTACTTATATGCTTTACTGGTTTTGCTTCTCTAGAGAACCCAGCCTAAGACAGTAACCAACATCACTGAATTGTACATATAGAAATTGTTGAAGTGGTGTATGTTTTGTTGTATATATTTTCACTAAAGAAAAAACATCCAGTAAGAGTCCTGTAGCTTAATGGTCCTTTAAAAAAAAACAAAGATTACAGCCAGGAAAACCTATGGAACAGTTCTAGTTTGTAATACATGGGTCATCTTCAGTCAGAGTCAACTCGACAGCAGCTAACAAGAACAACGGTGCTTCCTAACAGGTAGCACGTAGTTAAATGGTTTTTTTTTTTTTTATCTTTAATAGCTTAAGTGTTAAATAACTTAGAGAAATAGAACTGTTATATTCTACTTTTGAATTCATGGCTATTAGTGTTTAGAATTAGTAGTAAGTTAAAGTAGGTTGATTTAAAGAAAACACGGAAGTAAACAATAGAGGCAGGGGGAATGTTCTGGTGTGCAAGTGGCAGAAGTGTGAAGGGGTGTGCAGAAGGCATGCCACGAGACTGAGCAGAGGAGAGGGCCTCAAGAACTCCCTCACTGGCCAGTGTGGAGCTGAAAAATGTACTGCATGTTTCATTTATTGTCCCATATGAAAGAAATGTAAAAAGTCTATTTTTACTTAGCTAAAGTGCTTTTTTTTTCCCCTGTTACAGGGGACCGTGATCAGGGTGTTTTCCATTCCAGAGGGACAGAAACTCTTTGAGTTCCGGAGAGGAGTTAAGAGGTAGAGTATGTAAATCTTCAAGATTAGTTCTGGAGGTTATATTTGGATTTCAGTTCTGTATTATCTATAACCAGGCGAGGGGAAACTTCAGAGAACAATGAGGAAATTCCAGGTAAATATACAAGCACTTCAGCCTCCCTCAATGGTCAGTTGAGATTAAGGAGTCTTCGTCATGGAAGGTAAAGGAACATTTTTATAAACGCAAACTGGGCGTTCATCTGTCTGTGATCCTACCTGGATGTAGAGTGATGACCAGTAGCCTGGAGTGTGGACAGACCTGCAGAACCAGGCACCTGGTACCATTGCTGAGGCCTCAGCTGGCTCTGGTGTTGCACGGTAGTGACCCCACGTTAGCCTGGTAAGCGTGCACCTTTCCTCATTCTCCACTCTTGAGAACCTGTAACCAGCTCCTCCATCTCCCCACTCACCCCCAGCACATGGCCTTGGCTCTTTCTTTTAAAAAAAACACAGTTGGGAGTTCTCTCAACTTTCTACCATCCATACTAAAATGTGTCCGTACTTAGCACTCCCTTCCTTGGCTGCTCCTGATTAATCCTGGCCCCTCTGCTGTGTTGACTAGCAGAATGAGGGAGGGGTTGCCCCAGTGCCCCAGCTCAAATCCTGGCTGCCACTTGCAGCTGTGTGGCCTTGGTCAGCATCACTCAACCTTGCGGAGTCTCATGTTCCATCTGAAATGAGGAGGTGATGGTGCTGCTTGGCACATAGGCAGTGTTCAGTAGATGGTAGCTGTTAGATTCCCCACCCCGCACCCCACCCCCAAGCTTCTCTGGGGACCTCATACTGTCTCTCATTTCCCTCTCCCCTCTGTGGGTTCGATCCTACAAATACAGCAAATGCATCTTCCGTCTTCAGAACCAAAGCCAAACACTCCACAGCCCCTTCCAGTGCCCGCCTGCCTTTGTTTCTTTGGCTTTTTTCCCTGGATTTTCCTTACCTGACATATTTCTGGTTTTTTCCCTTCTTTTGCTGCTCCTGCTCAGTTTTTTCCTCTTATGTCTAGTGTCTGCCCTGCAGTCTCTGCTTGTGCACCCTATGAACTTCCACACCCTTCCTGCACAGGGACGTCTGTATCTGTGCCTGTGACACCCACGTCTGTGTATTCAGCCCTGGCTTCTCTCCTACCATTTTCCTGTATGTCTCCTGCACACTGGATATCAGACACTTCAACCTCAGCCAGGTCACAGTACACCCCCTCTGCTCCTCATGCCCCATGTTCCTTATCTTGGTCAGTGTCGCCCCTGCCCACCTCCCCGGTGCCTGGCCTGAGGGACCACTTAGGGACCAGGTGTGAGTCCCCCATCCAAGTCCTCCGCTTCTTCCAGTCCCCACTGCCACCCCTCCTAAATCACTGTCCAGTTGCTGGGGTAGCCTGGGCTCGCCTGTGCTCTGCTTTTGGCCTCTTCAGTCCATTCTCGTGATCTAACCTGAGCTCTTCCTGGAAGATGTAAAGATAATCAGGTCACATCCCATTTACGTAGTTCCCAGCACCCTTGTGTTATGTGAAGCCCGGCCCCAGGGCTGGGCCCATCCATGTCCAAGCCCATCTCTGCGCCACTGTCCCTGCTCTCCCCAGTCCAGCCACACTGTGCCTCCCTCTGTGCCTCTCTCTTCCTGGGCTGGCCAACTTCTGGAAGCCTCTGATCTGAGTGTCCCCGTCAGGGAGGCCTTTCCCTGATGGTCACTGGCTGAGTCCCTGTGCTGTGTGCCCTATCACATCCTCCACATTCCCCTTTAGTGCTCCATGGCTTGTGGATAACATCCACACCCCCACCCCACACACACACATCTGATCGCGCTGTCGCGAGGGGGAGCCAAGCTCTCTGATTTCGTCTCCAGGGCTCTGGTGCAACCTCAGGTGCACTGGGAGCACTCAGTGAATACTCATGGAATTGAATAGAACCACTTACCACAGCAGGGTAGAATGTGCCTTGTGTTTCTAGGCAGAAATTTCCAGTTTACTTAATGGCTCTGGGATTTTTACATAGATTGTTAAAATGTACCATAGAGATTTAGCATGTTCAAAGTTTTGCTTTATTTGTAAACATTATCAAGGTCACTGGCTTATCCTCTTGCATGTTAAGAATTGCTGTAACCATAAAGAGAAATGAAGTTCTGATTTATGCTACAACATGAATGAACCTTGAGAACATAATGCTGAGTGAAATAAGTCAGATGCAAAAGGGCAAATATATGATCCCACATATATGAAATATCTAGAGGAGGCAAATGCATAGAGACCAAGAATTATTAGTGGTTACCAGGGGTTGGGGGGAGGGGGAATGGGGAGTAATTGCTTAAGGGGTACAGAGTTTTTGTTCGGGGTGATGGAAAAATTTAGAAAAGGATAGCAGTGATGGTTGCATAATACAAATGTAATTAATGCCACTGAAGTTGTGCATATAAAAATGGTTAAAATGGCAAATGTTTTGTTATATATATTCTACCACAGTAAAATAAAAGAATCACTATAATTTAAATCACTGAATTTCCCCTTACTAACTTTAGGACTGTAAGTCCACCCTAACTGAGCTAAGAATGGTTTAATGAAGTCTTGATTCTATTTCTTATTTGGAATTGCATAGAAAAATAGACTGTTGATGGAGATATTAAAGAATTACTTGTACTTAGTATTAACTTTCAGACATTTTCCTCTCTCAATATTTTTTCTGAGAAGCTGGCTGAACAGGAGTGAGATGGATATCAGTAGACCTAAGTCGGCCTGCTACGGAGACTTGTCCTCTCTGTCACTTTAGTTATAAACCCTGGTGAAGTGCCACTTGTCCCCTAACCAGTGTTCCTGGTGACAGCGTAACAAGACCTGTGCCTTGCACCCTGTCCCCAGGTGTGTCAGCATCTGCTCACTGGCCTTCAGCATGGACGGCATGTTCCTCTCCGCGTCCAGCAACACGGAGACTGTGCACATCTTCAAACTCGAAACTGTGAAGGAAAAGTAAGTGGCAAAGAGACATTCACTGAAAAGCAAAACCACTTCTCCCAATGTATACTGCCTGGAAGAGAACATAAGTACAGACGCGGTCCTGGTTTCTTTTAAACCCGTTTTTTTTTTTTTTTTTTTTTTTTTTCAGTTGTACTTTAGATGAGGGTTTACAGAACAAAGTAGCGTCTCGTTAAAAATTAGTACACATATTGTTTTGTGACTTCGGTTGCCAACACTGTGACATGTCAACACTCTCCCCTTCTCAGTCTTGGGTTCCCTATTTACCAGCTTTCCTGTCCCCTCCTGCCTTCTAATCCTTGCCCCTGGGCTGGTGTGCCCATTTAGTCTTATTTTGCTTTATGGGCCTGTCTAATCTTTGGCTGAACGTTGAACCTCAGGAGTGACTTCATTACTGAGCTCAGCTAAAATGGTATCTGAGGGCCATACTCTCGGGATTTCTCCAGTCTCTGTCAGACCAATAAGTCTAGTCTTTTTTTCTGTGTGTGTGTGTGTGTGTGTGTGTGTGTGAGAATTTTGTTCTACATTTTTCTCCAGTTCTGTCTGGGACCCTCTATTGTGATCCCTGTCAAAGCAGTTGGTGGTGGTAGCTGGGCACCATCTAGTTATGCTGGACTCAGTCTGGTGGAAGCTGTACTACTTGTGGTCCATTTGTCTTTTGTTCTAATCTTTCCCTTGTGTCTTTTGTTTTTTTCATTCTCCCTTGCTCCAGACGAGGTGAGACCAGTGGAGTATCTTAGATTGCTGCTCAGTGGTCCTGTTTTTTGACACTGCCAGTAACGAATGTTGTTAGGTACCGTCAAGTCAGTTTTCTACCATGGCGACCCCATGTGACAGAGTAGAACTGCTCCATAGGGTTGTCTAGGCTGTAATCTTTACAGGAGCAGATCACCAGGTCTTTCTGCAGCAGAGCCACTGGTGGGTTGGAACCAACAACCTTTCAATTAGCAACTGAGTGCTTAACCTTTGTGCCACCAGGGCTCCTGTCAATAAAGAATAAGTGCCACCAAATCTAGGCTCAACAGTAAAATGGATTTTCCTCCTTTAAAATGATGCTTGAATGTGGGAAGTCTGCTCGAGAGAAGGATGGGGAGAAAGTTGAACCACTTAAGGGTGAAGAGAGATATCTTCTGGTCGGTACAAATGCCTGCCTCTTGACACTTTTCTTATAAACAGAAGTATTTTTGATGAGCCTGCCATTGGCATGAATACCGTGTCTCCTTTAACCTGCCTGTATGTAAGCCAAGAGATGAGGCTGTTTTCATTTTTAAAGCAGCTGATTTAAATTATGCATTACAGTAATGAATATGTGTGGTGAAGGGGGTTCTTTTCTTAAATTTTAAAATGACGGTCCCACTGGGATCAGTATTGTTTATTTATACTCTCTCTTATTCCAGGAAGCATTTAGGATAACTTAGAAAATATACACAAGGTGAATAACAACTACAGAAGGGGCTATAGGAAAGTAACAGCTTGACTAAGATTGGTACTCATAAAATACACTACAGATTTTGGAGACTTGCTGTTAGAAAGATCTAGAGGGGCTTATCAATTTGGCTCTAACGTCCTCATCATTTGCTGTAAAGGGGGAGCCTAATCACTTGCCAAGGAGCCCTGGTGGCACAGTGGTTAAGCACTTGGCTACTAACCTAAAGGTTGGCCGTTTAAACCCACCAGCGGCTCCATGGGATAAAAGACCTGGTGGTCTGCTCCTGTAAAGATTGTAGCCTAGGAAACCTGTGGGCAGTTCTACTCTGTCACCTGGGGTCGCTATGAGTTGAAATTGACTCGATGGCACCCAGCAACAACAGTCATTTGCCATGAGCCTGGCCCCTAGGGAGCGTGGCCTTGCCTGGTTCTGAGATCTGAGAGGGTTTCTCCCTCACCTCCCAGGAGGGTGTGCTCACGAGCGTGGCCTCAGGGCCTAGGGGACTCTGTGTGTTTCCTTCAGCCCTTCTTTTCATGGCATGTAGGTGATCTCTTCTTCAGGTGTCAGGGTTGACCCTTGTCTTTGTGGGAGGGACCATGGGTGCTTTTTGTCATAAGGCATGTAGCTTTGTTGTCTGAGCAGGTGTCCTTCTTGCAGACCCCAGGAGGAGCCCACGACCTGGACTGGCTACTTTGGGAAAGTACTCATGGCCTCCACCAGCTACTTGCCCTCACAAGTCACAGAGATGTTCAACCAGGGCAGAGCCTTCGCCACCGTCCGCCTGCCCTTCTGTGGCCACAAGAACATCTGCTCGCTTGCCACGTGAGTAGAGCACGGTGCTGACCTCCCTGGCCCATTGCGCTGTGACTGTCTCGTCAGAGAGGTCGTGTCACAGTGGTTGCTACAGGATACCAGAGAGGAGTGTGTGGGACCCCTGGAGTGTCTCCTGACACAAGAGAACTTGGATGGAACGTGGGGCTACATGGAGGGAAAGAACCAGCAAACACACCTGTGCAGTGATCACATGCGAAGGCTTCCTCTATGGTGTTCTGCTCAATTCCACAACGTCTTTCTCTCAGTTTTTATGGAAAGTATTTGGTGTTAATGAAAAACAGTCATGAAGTCAAACTGTGTGAGGTTGCCAATATTGAACCATTTTTGGCTGACAAAAGCAGCCATCTCACACGTTCCAAGGCCCTGTTCTAGCGCCAGGATGCAGGCTTAGGATGCACATGGGTGGGGTCTAATGAATTCACTGGGATTGGCCAAGGAAAAGACCACCTTTCCAATTCAGCACAACTTCGCGATTCCATGAACCTTATAAACATCATCTGTCCTTTCTGTCAGACCTAGCATAGCTGAAACGTTACAGGAAAATATCTGTCTACCCTTAGCAAGCAGAGAAACCATGAAGCTGGTCTTGCCCCAGCCTCCTCCCACAGGATCAGTGTTTATTCACACCGAGCACATCCTCGGCCTTGCTGGTCCAAGTCTTACATAGTATTGAATGTGTGATCGTTGCCATCTTATCCGTAGCTCATAAATGTGGAACTCTGGAAACTAAACCTGAGGCTCATTGGGGTGGGGTTTCTTCCCTAGCCATGCCAAAGCGAGGCTGCTGGTTTAATCAGGTACTTTTTGTGGATGCTGTGGTCCTGGAATTTGCTTTCTATCCTCACTAGAATTCAGAAGATTCCCCGACTGCTGGTGGGCGCATCCGACGGGTACTTGTACATGTACAACCTGGACCCCCAGGAAGGGGGCGAGTGCACCCTCATGAAGCAGCACAAGTGAGTCTGTGCGGCCCCAGCCTTACCTCTCTGTGCGGCCTGTCTCGTCCTCAGCCCGGGTACCTCCGTGCCTGTTCATTTCCTTGGGACCCAGTGACTCGGGAGGGGACTGCCAGTGTGGCTGGCCTGGGGGGCTCCTGAGCTTCGCTTTCCCAGAAAGAGTTGATTCTGCCTGATGGTGCTCCAGAAGATGCCGACCGCTGTTCTCCCCACCCTTATCAGCCCAGGGCCTGGTCTAGTGGCTGGGGCAGGGATGAGAGAGAGAGGAGGCCCAGGCCCTCTTCCTGAGACCCAGCTTGAGGAAAGGGCACAGCAGTGTCAGCACAGCCTAGCGCACACTCTCGAGGGTCAGCTCTCCCTGAGAGGCACATGTTCTCACTGGAAAGAGGAAGCCTCCTGGTTTAATCAGTGCTGGGCAACTGGGAAGGAGCACAGTTGGATGTTCTGTTTTACAGTTTCTTTTTTTATTCAGAAGTCCTGACAACAGTACAGTAATTCTTTTATAATTGAGGTGAAACTGGGGGAGATTTCTTTTCATAGCAAATTCTCTTTAGTTAAAAAATGAGGTAAAAAGAAACTAGTTTTAAAATTAAATAAAGATGAAGTAGGGTGGTCACGTTAGCTATACCTTGAGTTAGACCTTCCATGTAGAACTCTGAGTGAGCAGACACACAGGATGATGTTGAAGCCATCCTAGGGTGGTGAGCACCCTGAGTGCCCTGCCTGGGCTGACTTGCGTCCTGTGGCTGTGGCACCTTGAGGCCCTGCTGCCGTGAATCTTGTCCCTGGGTCTGTCCTTGCCACAAACGCTGAGTCTGGTGTTTATCTTCCTCTGCCTTTTCCAGGTTGGATGGCAGCATGGAGACAGCCAATGAGATCTTAGACTCTGCATCCCATGACTGCCCCTTAGTCACCCAGCCATATAGCACAGCCGTAGCAAAAGGTACTTATGTGCCTCCGTCCCCGACGAGACCTGGTAAGGGATGTGACACTCACCTGGAAGGTAAATCACGCCAGTGGCCTGCCTCTTTTACTTTTTAGACTTCGTGCTTTTAACCAAATCTCCTTATCAGAGTGGCTGGGAAAGGGACATGGGAGTTCTCAGAACCTAGGCAGGCTTTATAAATGAGTATTTCCAAGGTGTCTCAAGGCAGAATTCATTTTCTTCGTTTTTAAAGAAAAAATAATTGCAAGTCAGGGTCATTTGGGTACCAATTAATTATCCCAAGGCTTGCCACATCTCTGCTAAAATATTATCCAAAATTCTGTGCCTGCGAAGTATTTTTGTCTTTGGTCTTTCCCCTCCCAGCTGCCTAATCACCTAGCAGATGTGTATCGAGCACCTGCTTGGTGCCAGGTCCCCTCTGGGTTATGGGGGTGGCTGTGGCGGTAAGCAGGGCAGGCGCAGTGCACACCTTTAGAGCTGATGTCCTGCTGTGGAAGCTCGCCAGCGCCCACGTGGATAGATGTGGGTGATTTAGGCTGTGACATTTCTCCTCCCAAATGAGCTAGCTTTCTCCAAGCCATCAGGTCAAACTCAGGTTAAAGACCGTGTAGTTTTGCTCACGCCTGAGCCAGTGCTTGCTCACCACCGCTGTAAAGCAGCCCTTTCATGTAAACAAAGGGCTGAATGTCTCATAGCATCAATATCAAGCAGCTGTCACCGGTGTGAGAGTTACAGTCATTCTCCTTGTTCATTAAAGAGAACTTGTAGCCTGCCCGTTTACCACCTGTTGCCATGGTGTCAACTCTGACTCACGGTGGCTCCATGTGTGTCAGAGTAGAACTGTGTCTCACAGGGTGTACAGTGGCTGATTTTTCAGAAGTAGATTGTCAGGTTTTTCTTTCAAAGCACCTCTGGGTGGACTTGAACCTCCAGCTTTTCGGTTAGCAGCTGAGCGTGGTAACCAGCCCCTACTTACTGCGCAGGCATCTTTTTGACATAAATATCATCTTGAGCTGCCTAAGCTGCAAAAACCTTAGAACAGCAACAACCAAAAAAGCCAAACCTATTGCCGTCTAGTCAATTCTGACTCATAGCGACGCCATGTAACAGAGTAGGACTGCCCCATAGGGTTTCCTACGCTGTAATCTTTACGGGAGCAGATCCCCAGGTCTTTTCTCTCAAGGAGCAGCTGGTGGGTTTGAACTTCCAACCTTTTGGTTAGCAGCTGAGCACTTAACCGTTGTGCCACCGGGGCCCCTTGTCAGTCAGAAGAAAGATTAAAATTCAGAATGCCTCAACATGGTGTGCAATCATGGACACGCAGGGATGTTCCAAAGCCAGCCCCAGGTGTTTTGTCGCTGGAATGTGTGTCCTGTGTCCCCAGGCCTTTGCGTGTGACCTTGTGGTCTCTTTGCAGCCTACACAGATGACCTGGGTGCAGCAGGTGGCGCCTGTCTGGAGGAAGAGACAGGCGCCCTGCGGCTGGATGAGGACAGCGAGCATCCTCCCATGATCCTTCGGACAGACTGAGCCTGACCTATGAATTCTGACCCCGGAAGCAGAGAACACCGACTTGAGAGAGGACTTGGTGTTGTGCTGCTGCAAACTTTGACCTGAGTTGGGGGAGAGGGTGGCAGAGACTTAAAAACAGATCGTAGCTGTAGTCTAATTCCATACTGTTGAGAAAATACATTGTTTTCACTTCAGTGGCTTTTAATTCTGCTTATGAATTTTAGCTTTTTGGGATATTTGGGTTTTTTGGTTTTTTTTTTCTTCTTCTCTTTTTGCCAAAATTAACTGTTTGGTGAAGTCCTTGAACCCTTCTTGCTTTGCATGCATTCATGTGCCAAGCCAGCCTAGGAGAGCTAAAAGCCACGTCATAACAAACTGAAGTTGTTTGGGTTTTATATATGTATATACTGGTGAGTGGACGGACAGACAGTGTGGCGTTGCACAGCACGGTCTGGTTGGTGAGGCGGGTTCTGCTCTGATGGGTCTGAGGCCCTCACATGGGGCTGGCCAGTGTGCGGGGCAGCCAGAGGCTGGAGGAGAGCCCTCTCTCTGTGGACCGCCACCTGGACCATTCTTCCCCATTCTGTTTTGTTAATTAAATTCTTTCCAAGTTGGATGATCCTGGGATTTCTTCCATGGTGGACCTTGATTTTGCCTCTGATCTTGCTTTCCATGTGCGTACTGCAAGAAAGAGGAGATCTGTGATATGAAAAGCCTTCCCTTCTGACAGCAGGCGAACCAGAAAGGATGTCTAGGAAGACCTGGAGGGAAGGAAGTGGTCTTGTTTGTATAATTAAATGATCTGTTCTTTTTCTTTAATCTTCCTGTTCAATGAATTGTCTGGTTTTTTTTTTTTTTTTTTTTTTAAGGAATGTTTGTAGCTACTCCTCTGTCAAGAGAAAGCACAGAGTTAAAATTTGATGGGTAGCTGAACTGTCTCCTTTACCTGAGGTCCCCTGCCTGTCGGGGGCTCCTCCGATAGGTCAGGATGGTGGACAGAGCTGGAAGCCCGAGAGAGAAGTGGGCTGGGAACACCTGCTTCCCCAGGTGTTTATGTGCCTTTTGTATTTTACTCTTACAAAATCTGTTCAGCAAAGTGGTGAGAGAGAGATTGTGGTTACAAGTTTTAGTACTTGCCTAGCTTCCCTTTTCATTTTTACAGAATTAAAACAACCTCAGATACCTCAAGCTCTGCATTCCAAACCAAGACACAGAAAGGGTATATCCGTGCGGGAATTACAGTGGAGTTGATGGCATGAAGGCTATCAACTCTTTGGAATAGTGGAAGCTAAGGATATAGGTGAAAAAGCAAAATGCTGTGCTTGCCCCTGCCTCTTCACTTCCCCAGGCTTTTGAACAGAAGCGAGGGTCAGAGGCGCTTGTTTTCAGGTCATCCTTTGGATCCTGGTGGCAAAGTGGTTAAGAGCTTGGGTGCTAACCAAAAGTTCAGCAGTTCAGATCCACCAGCTGCTCCTTGGAAACCCTGTGGGGCAGCTCTGCTTTGTCCTGTAGGGTTGCTATGAGTTGGAATCGACTCGATGGCAACAGGTTTTGTGTGTGTGTCTTGGTAGTGTTCACGGAGTAGCTTGTGAAAGAGAAAGAGGAACTGAAAATGTTTCTCACAACCTGACATTAAGCAGTCCTGGCTTTTAAGTTCAATCCGTATTTCTGGAGCCGGCTTATAAAGTGGCTGGTTTTCCAATGAAATCCTAAATGCAAGTGTGTGCCCAGCCAAGGAAGAAAAGAGCTGCTTATGGCAGCAACAGGAAGCATTTTGTTAGGCAGAGGTGTAAGGAGGAGCAGACTGGGCTTTCCTTTAAAGTAGAATCTCTAGCGTGTCTGTCCTGGATCTGACAGAATGTGATTCACAGCAGTGTCCTCTGATTCACAGAGGGGCTGCTGAGCCCTGTCAGGTTATTTCTTTTCCAGAAGAGCCTTAGCAGAACACAGCCCTGACCAGGCCAGAGTCTTGTGGCGTAGGACCTGAAGAGTTCTCTCTCTCACTGTCTCTCTAGAGCAAGGCATTGGACACTAGTTCTTTGGTGGCACATTGGTCAGAGGGAGTGTTAATGGGGGGAAAAGTCGAAAGAATCCACAATGGAGATGTGGAGCCCAATGCAAGGGTTTCCTGACAACCAAAGAGAGAAGTGCATTTCATGTTTTGTGTTAAAATATTAATTTCAGTGTCTGCTTGTTAACTTTACACTTGTGATTTGGGGAATCAAATCTACTTTGCCGGGTTTCTTATAGTCAAAAGGTATGTGCTTTCATCTTTGGAATTGGTAGTCCTAGAAGATATTTGGAATTCACTCTTCCCTTTTGGCTTCCGTTTCCTCAACTTCATGATGAAGCGGCTAGAAAAGATGGTCTCTAATAGCCTGTGGTCCCCGTCTCCCGTGGGTGGCCCCCGGCAGAGCCGGGCAGGTAGGTGAGCACAGGGAGCTGCGCCAGCTGCTTGTCCTCTTGCGAGCTTTTCTTGTCTCAGTCCGATTCAACCTGTCTCCTCGGTGAGAGAGAGCCAAGAGTGCTTGTTGAGAATAAGGAAAGGGATTCATGTGTGTTTTCTGACTGACCACAGTGAGGATGGCCACGGGTACCTCCTCTGCTGTGGGTCAGTATCTGCATCACCTGCAGGCCTGAGACCTTGTGGCTGAGATGGGGAAGGAGGGGGGGAGTGGGAGCCACTGACGTGGTTGATGGTGGGCGTCCTACCATCTGCCGGAAACTTAGATGAAGGGGGACGCCGGCTGAACCACACAGAACACACATGTACAATTTTCTGGACTCCAAACTATACACCAATATTGATTTTTTTTTTTTTTAATTCTATTTTTCCAAACTTCAACAAAGATTATGGGGTCACAGAGGATGGAGGGGGAGATGGGACAAAAGCCCGGCAACTTCATGGACTAGTGTGAATTGGGACCAAATCTTTTGTATTTTCTAAAACGCTTAAATATGTAGTCAAAGAGGACTGAATTCCGTCCGGTCCTACAGCCCTCCAACAAGCTGTGTGACCTAGGGACTCCAGGTTCTGGGTGTGACGAGGAACACTAGGGCCCCAGGTTCTGGGTGAACAATAGGAACGATCCTACCTCACAGGGCTGTTGTGAGGTCGACTGTGATCATGTGTACCATGGGCTCCCTGCTCAGGGCCTGGCCTGCAGGGGGCACCCAATAAACGTTCAAACAGAAACTCCTGGGCGTAAACAGATGGTTTTTATTCAGCCCTGGTGTCTGAGTACAAAGCTGGGTGGGAGCAAGGTCAAAACCACCAAGTCAAGTTCACGCCCCTCATTGTGTGTGGCTACATTTTGTCCCTGCCCTTCTGAGTCTTTCATACTAAGAACAGTGAGTAGAGACTGCATGAGTCTGTCTTAGAGCTGGTGGGGCTGGGAGAGGTGCCACTCCCAAATCAAGCAATATTTCTGTGGCCATTAGGAGTCACACAAGTCAAACAGCCAATCCGTGGCCACGCCCATCACCACCAGGTCTGAGACAGCAGGGATCCCATGGCCTCCCCCTAGACCCACAGGAGGTCCCGTTCCCAGGGGAGCCTGGCATGATGAGGATGTGAACCCTGACTTCTCGTCTCCCCCCTGGGCACCCCATCAGGGACCCCAGGGGAGCCTGGCCAGGATGAGGACATGAACCCTACCTTTTCACCCTCACTATCCCCCCCCCCACCTCCAGCAAGCAGGCTCCCGGGAGCCCCACCACAGCCTCTGCCAGGGAGCAAGTGCTGTGGCTGCTTCCTAGTCAGAGCCGTTTGGAGCGGAGAGGAGAGAAGATGGAGTACGTTCTTGTTCTCAACAGCGGCAGTGGGCCACATGTAGAAAAGACTGGAAATGCTGATGGGGCCACAGCTCAGCAAAGCAAACAGGACAGTCAGGGCTGGGAGAAGAATCTCAGCTGTGTGCTCCTGGTCTTGGTAACGGCCAGAATGGCATAAGGAAGTTCTCAGCCCTGACTGGTGCATTCTCTTTGTTCCCTGCCCCAGAGCTGTGTGGATTTGACTTCTTGTAGGGGGAATGACTGCACCACTGGTCTGAAATGTCTGAGACATTTGTGACTAGCACAGCTCAAGATCCAAATATATTATTTTACAAGCAAGCTTAACAACAATAACAAAACCCTTGTGGTCGAGTCTGTTCCAACTCGTGGTGACCCCATGTGGGTCAGTAGAGCTGCGCTCCATAGGGTTTTCAGTGATTGTGACCTTTCAGAAGCAGATCGTCAGGCCTTTCTTCCAAGGCACCTCTGGGTAGATTCAAACCACCAACTTTTTGGTTAGTAGTCAAGCACTTAACCATTTGTGCCACCCAGGGACTCCTCTGTCAGCATACTTCAAGTGCACTCAAGCCATGGGTCTGCCATTTGGGAAGAGTGTTTTATGTGGAATTTTGGGTGTGTAGGAGAGTAACTTGGAGCCCTGGTGGCATAGTGGTTAAGAGCTAAGGCTGCTAGCCAAAAGGTTGGCAGTCTGAAAATACCAGCCACTCCTTGGAAACCCTATGGGGTGGTTTCACTCTGTCCTATAGGGTCACTGTGAGTTGGATTTGACTCTACAGCAATGGGTTTTTTGGTTAGAGTAACTTACTGAAAATACATGACAGTTGTGTGCCCAGTAGACAGGTTTTTCTGGTGTCTATTTTAGTTTTTTTTCCAGGTCATCACACTCTTAGGCCCACAGTGGACCTTTTCATCCTTTGGATTTGTGAACAACAAAAAAAATCGATGGGTTTTGAGGTGTGGCCAGCTCTTCTTGTCCTTCCCCAGCATCTGACTAGGGAAGTCTTTAATTTGGAAAAATTAAAGCTTCCTAAAGCTCAGCATTGAAAGGGACTGTTTTGATTCGTTGGGCCCTACACTCTGTTATATCCGTTACTGAGTTGTAACTTACATGTATTTCTTTTCACATTTCCTTTTTAGGGGAAACTGTGTTGCTAGAGTAAGAGTGAATGTGTATATATCTGAGAGTGGGGGTGGTGTCTGAGGATGTGTGTCTGAGTGTGTGTGTGTGTGTCTGAGAGTATGTGTGAGTGGGTGTGTGTCTCAGAGTGTGTGTGTCTGAGGGTGTGTGTGTCAGTATCTGTGTGTCAGAGAATAAGTGTGTGTGTGTGTCTAAGCCCAGGTAAGTGTGCTTACCTTCCTTCCCAAATCTGATTGAAAGTCCGCTACTGTTAGCATTTTATTACTGCATTAAGAAATTAAATCTGTGCTGTTATTCTGGGTTTTTCCATTGATTTATTGCCAACTCACAGGCCATACATTTAATTTGTACCATATTTAAACTCATCGTAATTCTACTTAGAATATTATAGCAGAACATGAGGCTTCTGAAGGCAGACTAAAATCTTGTATACAGGTTTCCATTCAAAACGGAGTTCCCTCCTTCGTGTGTGGTACCATCTACTAGAACCCTCTGCCCTATCTGAAAGATCATGAGAACCTGAACTTCATAGGGTGGGTAGAAGGAAGCCCATTAGGCCTCTTGGACCTCCTGAAGCTGTGGGATTTGGTTGGTCAGAATGGTTGACCTTGTAATAGGGTGGAGATAGATGAACTTACTCTTATTTGTGTTCTTGCCACACCATTTTTTGGTTAAAGTGTTACTTAAATGCGGTACTAGGTTGGCAGCTGCTTCTGAGAGTGCATCCCCTTGCTGAATTCTCCCTCTTTAAGTTGGAGAATTTGTTCCTTTCACCTGAAAAGGCCAAGAAATGCCTCTTGTACGTCCTGCCCTACTGAACAGGCATGCAGTGGCCTGACCCACCGCTCCCCAAGTTCTGTAAGGCGGACGGATGCGGGCTGGCCATCCCCTGGGACCAGTTGCCTCTCTTCACTACCACCCCAAGTTTGTCCAAGGACACCTCGACACAGCATGGATCTCCCTGGGAGGCAGGCACCAGGCCCTGTGCCTCTTCCCTGTGCAGACTGGGATGCTGTTTTCTAAAGCGAGAGCATTGGTGTTTCTTCCCGCTGTCTTAAATTATTTCCTTAATGGATTAATGTACAGTTGTAATTGAGGTACTTTGTCCCAGCCCAGCTTTTTTTCTCAAGGAGACAAAAGGCGGGGTGATTTGGAGAGGAGCAGAGCGGTCGGGGCGGGGGGGTTCTGCTGCCTCTTGTCTCCCTCAAGGGGGACCCCTTGGTGTCTCTTACTTTGGCTATCCCTGATATATTTAGTGCCTGGTCCTTGCCTGGGATGGGGACATGGAAAGACAAAGATCAGACAAAGATCTTCAGTCAAAGATCCAGCGAGGGCAGCCCGGGAATCAGTTTGCACCCGCCCGCAGCACAGTGACAGAGCTGTTCTTCAAAGGAGTAAGGAACTTGTTCTCACAAGGCCAAGTGCATATGAAGTAGATTGTTAGACACCCTCACCACCATCTTGTGAAATGACGCTCTGGGATGCCTTTTTGAGACAAGCTTTTCAGAGAGGGAGCCCTCAAGAAAGCCCTTCAGTTAAAGAGGGTTCTGAGAAATGCACCCTGGGAAGCTCCTTCCTACTGCCTCACCATCCCTCACAGCAATGCTGGGTCTCCATGTAGATGGTGGGGATAAGGTTCCTCTTCAAATGGAGTATCCCGTCTCTGTTTATATTAATTCCCACTTGCTGCCTGTGTGAGCAAGGAGGCCTGGTTGCACAATGGTTAAGCACTCAGCTGCTAACAAAAAGGTTGGCAGTTCAAACTCACCCAGCTGCTCAGTGGCAGAAAGGCTTGGTGATAGTTCCCGTAGATTACAGCCTAGAAAACCCTGTGGGGCAGTTCTACTCTGTAACACGTGGGGTTGCTATGAGACGAAATCAACAACCTGTCAAGTCGCAGAGCACACCTGTCCTCCTTGGGCTTGGGCCTTGTTCACTGTGAGGCTCAGTCGTTCGTTGGGAATGCCAGGGGCTGCTGGCATTGTCGCTGAAGATGCACACCTGCCATGGAAAGAGCGCTTTGGGGTACCTGGGCTCTGGGAGGGCAGCCCAGGCCATGTGCAGCAGTAGGAGGAAGGCTGAGCACCAGAGAGAAGGGGACAAGGCCCAGGGCTGCAGGTGTGCGCTGTGCTTGGGGAAGGTCAGACCAGGGTCACATGTCACCTTCCATCCTGTTCACTCTCCTGCAGGGAGATGGGCCGGGTCACAGGAGGTGGAAACGTCATGATTAACTTGCTGCTTTCAAGCTCAAATATATTTATCTGACTACAAGTTTTAATGAGCCCTGGTGGCACAACCGTTAAGAGCTCAGCTGCTAACCAAAAGGGTGGTTTGAACCCACTAGCCGATCTGCAGGAGAAAGACCTGGCAATCTGCTTCCACAAAGATTACAGCCTAGGAAACCTTGTGGAGCAATTCTACTCTGTCACATGGGGTCACTATGAGACGAAAGCAACTCAGCAGCGCCCAACAACTTTGAGTTTACCTCACCTTCCAGCACAGTCTTAACACTTTCTCCACTTACCTATGGATTAAAGGATAAAAAAATTATTTTACAATTGCTGTACTCTTTTCT